GTGTTTCTTGTTTTTTGCCTCCCCAAGGACCCCCCCTGCCATATACAATTAAAACAGATAGGCCCATTTAAACAAGGAAAATGGTACAGGATTCATGAAAAAAATTTATTTTAAAATAATTATTTTAAAAGAAATCTCTACAACTTCTGCAAAGACGTAAGTGCTAAGCTGTAAGTATCACTGCTTTTCCTCCACTTTTTCCTTCCACCCATTTGTTTAAGTAAGACAGGCAGTATTACAGACAGTATAATTTTATGAAGAAAAACAATTTGCAGCAAATTTGTCAAGATGAAATTTTGTACATTCACTGCTGCAGTTCCCAGATAATGAAGTCTCATCTCAAATATTTATCATTCATTTTACAGCCACTGTGGGTATGCTGAAGGAACATCTTCAGAGAAACATATATTAGTCAGATTTTACCTGACAAATTCAGTAAATGTCCAAAACTCAGTTTGGTCAGAGAAACCCTATTTTAACTGGAGCAGCAACTCCAGTTGTGTGGTAAATTCTCTGGAAACTAACTTTTATAAAATCTGAGGAAACGGGAAAGGACAGAAGTAGGGCCTGTACACCTTATTCAAATAGCATGATCCTCTGCCACTCCAGTGCGGCTATACGCACCTACTACACCTTTGCAGACACCTTCAGTTTCTTTTTCCTCAGTGAGAAAACAGTATTTTCTCACACCTGTGAGCCCCGTGGCTGTGGAGTGGGGGGAAAAGAAGATGGTAATAGGCTGCAGTGAACAACTATGCCCTTGAAAAGCTTCCTAGGGAGGGTACGAAGCCTACATGCCATTCCCCAGGCTGCAGTGTATCACTACAGCTAGCTTTTCAGCCTACACCAGACGCAGCCCATCACTAAATTATGCTAGAGAGCTGGAAATGAGTGAGGGAGAAATCTGTAAGGTTGTGTGAGACGGAAACCAACTGAGTGAGTCTCACTCTCACTGAGTGAGATGTGATAAATCTGTCTTCTCCCATCTGACTGTGGGAACAGATGGCCTAACAACATGATTAAACAAAACAACCATCTGTTGCAGCAGATTTCTTTTAAAAAAACAAAACAAAACAAAAACAGAGCTTAAAGAGTTAAACAGTATTCTGACAACAATAATTAGGAGAGAGCATCATTGGCAGGGAAAGGGAAAAGAAAAAATATCAAAGATGCAATCAATGACTAAACTGTAATAAATGGCCTTATCAGTGAACATACTCCTCCTTCATAATTAAGAGAGCAGTCATAAAACTACTCATATATTTAAGCACGTTTTGCTAGATCAGGGTCTTAAAAGAGCTTATTTGAAGTTTTTCATTGTTCACTGTACTGCATACCTACAAAGTTATGACTCATTTCACCCCTGTGATGAATGACCACACTTTTAATTTTCAAAATTTCTGAAAGCAAAAATAAAAAAAACAGTACATCCCTGCACTTCTGCCAACAGCTATCCTCATTTCAGTTTCACAGTTTCTGTAAAATAGGATTCTAATTCAGAAACACTCGAAAGCATGTTTATAACCTTGAGAATGTGTCTAGCTCTAGTAAAGACTGGAAGAGCTGTTTTGCTGGATTGAGACATATTACACCTGTTTGTTCACTTCTTTCCTAAAAGCCTGTTACTTCTTCATTTTCCCAGAAATTGTACATGATAATAAACACATTTGTTTTAAAAAAATCAGATCCACACATCAAGAGAATTCTGAATGACACTGTCAGCTCGCTGTCTCTCATTACATACTATTCATAGATCAAACATTCCAAATATTTGCAAAAAAAAAAGGATTTTCATGACAATTATATTCCTTCCTCTGATTTATGTCCAAGGTAACTAGAACACCTTGAAAGTAAGAGAACATAAACCCTTTGAGAAAAGGATAGTAATTATATACATACATATATATATACACACACACATGCCAAAAAGGGATAGAACAAGATAAAAGTTGGTCTCAGAGGATGTATGCTATTAGAAGTTGTTACAAAAATATCCTAAAAGAACTGTTTACAATTTCACGTGAATCTGCATAAAAAAAAATTTGTCAAAAATAAGAAAAATTTCTACATGGTAAATGAATCATTTAATAAAAAATATTCTTCAAGAGGCAATGATAAAGTTGTTTTCTACTCCCCTTTTTTGTCCATTTTTCTCGATTTTCTCTCTGCTTCAAATTTTTAGCTCTTGCATACTGAAAACTTGGGAAGGTAGAAAAATCAATGGAAATTACTCCTATGAGCCAAGATTTTATGTAAAACATAAAATGGTCTCTCCATAATCTTATTTAGTAAAAATCCTTTAAGTATGGGTAAAAATATACACATGTAAAAATAAAGTTACGTATCTGTGCAAACTGTGTATCTCAATATATGCAAAAGGTTCACCCTTGACCCATCTCTTACTGTAGTCACTTTCCTGATCATCTACAACATTCCCTATCTAAAACCAGAGCAGTTACAGTGTAATGTGGAACTTGCACAGCAATGACTAAAGGTCACCTCTAGTGTTACTATCATAGAATCACCTTTTTTTTTTTTTTAAACTGTGCAAGAGATAAAAATTAAGGAATAATATTTAGATTATTTTCTCATAAGGAAGGTTGTCAAAAGAGCTCCTTCTAAAGATCTCATACAAAATCAGGGTTTCAGTTATATAAAAAGTTTTATTTATTGTTTTCTCAGAGAAATAATACTGAGAAAATAAATAACTGAAAGATCTTTATTTGGATTATTTGCCTCAGTGGATCTGTTGTTCAGGTGTTTCATTATTCTGTTCGTTTCATCTAGACAGCATCTCCCGTGATTCAGTAGAACCAGAGACTCTTCTGCAGGAGACTTGGGTTGTTAAAAGAATTAGACTCCCAAAGGAAGACTGATAAGAAAACTGTAACTTCTGTAAGGCCCTATGGCAATTATTCACAAATCAATTTTTTATTATTTCAGCAAACATTTTTGGTTTTCAAAAATCTTTCAAAAGGTAAAAAAGTTTTTACTAAAAAAAAGGTAACATTTTTGTAACATCTTAATTCAAACCACTATACTTAAATTCACAGTAGAAAGTTATAAGACACTCCAGTTATGCAGTCGTATATAAGGCTATGTTTTTACAAATACATTGGCATTGTAGTGTTACCATATTCCAATATTTTATTTCCGTTATTACTGTTTTCCTTATTACTTTAGCTGCTTCAGCTGTATCTTTTTAAACACTCTGGTTTTTGTTAAAAACAGAATCAGGCTTATGTGTGCAGAAAAAAAAAAACTTGAAAAATTAACTCTGAGCTTTTAACAAGCCAGGAGTTACAGAGTATTTGTTTCTTCAAAACTCGCTGTCTTTAAGATAATTTCTTTCAAGAACCCCAACAAATGGTTTCTACATTTACAATTGGCAATACTGAAATTTGCTATTCATCTCAGGACTAAGAACTCTAAAATTCAAAGAAAGCTAATATGCAGTCCCTGACTCTCCTTGCTCTACTATATAATACTACATGTTTTTTCTGAAATTCTTTAAAAAGATACAAACATCGGAACAATTTGTTAACACTATAACATGTGACATGCTTGGCCTCTTAAATCTATAGAGGCTGTCAATTTCTGCTGCAATGTGACCTTTACAGCAGATTAGGCAGCACCATACGTCATGCAGATTTTGTTTTATTCAAACTAAGAGTTTGGAAAAATCGGGCTGCTGACAGGGACAGATATATTAGTCAAAATCTTCCAGATTCAAAATATTTTTTTTAAAGAAAAAAGCCACCCCTTAAACTTTCTTTTTATAATTTTACATTGTGAAAAGCAAGAAAGAGAAGCCGTTGCATATTTCTCTGTATTGATAGCTTCAGACATTAAAGTATCTAAAGGTACATCAAAAGTGACTGTTCGAACCTGTGATTCTGAATGGTCAAGGACCTGAACTCTAAAGAGTATTTCAGAACTCTACATGCCAATAAATTTTTTTCTATCAGTTACAGTATTTTAAAGTTGGTTTTTTGTTTGTTTGTGTGGGGTTTTTTGAAATATGTTTCCCATTTCAACATTAGAATTATTCTTGGCAATACTTGCAAAGGCAAAGAAACACAAATATTCTTATCCTGGATGCTATGTGAAGAACCCGCAAATATTCACTGCTAGATAGTACAGGAAAAAAAATATCATCTTAGAAGGGGAAATAAAAAGCTAACAACAACAACAAAGTCTAGAGCAAAAAAGGTAAGGAGAAGATACAGATCCAGAATAAACTACGCAGTTGAGCATAGGTTTTGTGGCAATTTTTTGTTGTTCTTTTTATTTTCATGTCATCCTGTTTCAAAGAAAAGGTTCATTGTAGCAAAACTTTCAGAAGCTGAAAGAGCTTCTATTCCACTTTTAATAACCATTTAGCAAAAACCTGCAGAATACAGGGAATATTTACGTAAACTATGACTAAGCAGAGATTATAATGATTTTTTAAGAAGATACACTGACATTCTACTTCTGGCATATCCAGGGTACAGCCCTACCTTGCAATTTCTTCAACACAGCTACTTCCATTTTCAGCACTTGCTTTGGCTGCTGAGCTGATTCGACCTTCAGTGCAACATTTTCTCGAGTAAGCAAGTCCAGGGCATCGTAAATTTCTCCAAATCCTCCGCCTCCTATTTTCCTCAACTGTATTGGGAAAAAAAGAAAGAACAAAAACAGATTTGAAAGAGAGGAGAAGAAGGAAAGGAAACAAAACATCAATACTTCTTTGTACTGCCTGCCATATTACAAATGTTGTTGTATTACTAATAGATTTTAAAATAACATAATCATATCCTTCAGTACGTAAAAGAGTTACCGAATAATCTACAAAGGTATGGTTAACCGCAGCTTGGAATAGAATCCTAGGAAAACAAGTGAATACACCTGATCTCCGTCTGCACTAAACTTCATGTATTTAATACAACAGAAGAGTCCACTAGCGTTCCCAGCATGAATCTGACCAAAGTCAGCATGCTGAATAAAGCCTTTCCTCAAATAGTCACATACGACCCAGAGACCTTCAAATGCACAGTGACATCTTTAAAATACACCATCTTTTTTCTTTTTATTATTTTTATAATAATTTTATGAATATTAAAGGTATATTTTCTATTATATGGCTTGACTTACACATAACAGCTAAATCACAAATGATAAGAAATGGCTAAGATTATCTTTGAATATATATTTTAAATGTTATCCACATTTACTTACGGTTCACCAATACCATTCTTATTAACAGCCATACTAAAGACACTTGCACCACTGAAAGTTTCATCTGTGTTAGGAAGAGGTAAAAAGAATGCTCCTGGCATATTAATTAGTTTGCACTACATTCAGAGCAAATATTAATAGCTGTGTTTTCACTCTGCTTTAAATGTTCACAGGGAACAGAGGCTTGTCTGGTTTTCAGTATCAAAAACGTCAATGTTTACTCATGTAATGCTTTCATATGGTGATCTCTCCTGTAGCTACCATTCTGAAGACAATAAAAGAGAAAAGAAGACAAAAAGAACTTACCCTAAGAAACACACAGTATTGTATTTTTACTGTATTTTACCTTGAAAGAACTGACATTGTTTTCTAAATGTCAGTTGAAAACATACAGGTGCTAAGGTTATATGACTACACTGTATTAAATGTCATCTAAGCATTCCAGGGACCTAGAGATCAGCAATATACTGACCTATCTTCAGATTCTGAAAATAAATCTAATGTCTCCTAATACAGACAATCAGCCATCTGACTGACAAGGAAAAACAAATTTTCAAATAGCCTAGGCCCCTAAGAATAAGGAAGAAGGTAACAGATAAAATACTCATATTGTTTACTTGCATTTTTCAAGTCATATCGCATGAAATTTTTATTCTGTGTGATTACAACAATACTGAGTATTTCATCATGCACTTTCTGTCCTGAAGATCTTTTACCATCACAAGCAACTGCTATTCCAATATTCTTAAGATGAGGAAAATACAGTCCAAGACACATAGCATTATCTACATTACTCACTTCAGGCCAACTCATTGCCAATTTCAAAAAGGTGCATAGGATAGACAGCACACCACATTTTCAGACCTACAGAACTAACCCACCTAAATATCCACTTCTAGTGCAACACCTATTGACTGCAATTCACATGTTCATTTCTTTCTAACAAGCACACTAGCTGTTAGCAAATGCAATCCCCTCTTCTCCACAGGCTGTATACTTTATCTGAAGCAGCGTAACATGCATACTATCAACATAGGCTTAAGCCTGTTACTCTTTAACCTACGCATTTCAAGAACTTAGTAAATTCATGTACACAGTATCACAAATCCTGGATAAGAAGTTTGTGTCTTCAGACATGACTTGTTTAAGGTACTACTCAGGTAAGAATCTAGGGTTAACTCTGAAATAATGAAAAACCGTGAGAAATAGAAATCTTTCAAGTCTGATGAAATACTCAGTATAACTTGATTACATTCAAGTGTATTTAATATATGCAGAGTGTTAGTCCTTACAGAAAGGAGAGAGATCTGTCATCTAAACATTGGGAAAAATAGCAAGTTTTAACAGGATTATATATATATGTATATACATATTTTAAAAACCCCCACGTATTAGTGTATCTGTGTATATCTCTTGAAGATGTAGTGTCGTGACTAATTTGGCCATTTTAAGTCTGCACTTTTCTGTTCCACTTCTTGGTCTGGTAATGCTATTATCTTGCCTGAGCTCTGAGCTATTAACAGGGCTCCAACAGTTAAACACAGACATTGATCTGACTGTAGTTTTCAGCATAAGCATATAAATTTTCAGCACAGTACAAGCACAACAGAGACAGTGAGAATGCATGGTGAAAAAGATGAGAGGGGGAGGAGGAAAGAGGTAACGCAGCCATCCTCACCCCTATACAAACTTATAGCAGTTTACCATATAACTTCATTTACCAGCTTTGAGAAATGGCCAGACTGAGAAAGACTGCCTCTGAAAGGTTTTTTTCCCTGCTTGTGTGCTTAAAAATTTTAAAAAACAAACAAAAAAATCCAAAACAAAACCAAACAGACCACCACACTAATAAAATAAACAGATCAATTTCTATCCTCAGATAAAGTGCACCAGAATCATTAACATACATCTAATAATGACATCAGTCAATAACTCCAGGCACAAGTGAACCTCTCTTTGATTGTAGAAAAAATATTTTCCATGCTCTTTGTCACTGGATCATGCACCACATTCAGCAATGAGCCTATGTTTTCCTTGGTCTTCTTTTTACTGCCAATGTCCCTGGTAGAAGCCTTTCTTGTTGCTTTTCACACCCCTCACCTGTTTCAACTGCCAGCTGATCTCTGGTTTTCCTATATATATTCATCCCGACACAGAGAGGCAATGTCTCCATGTTAATCTTGGGCAGCCCATCCCCTTTTCCACCTTCTGTTGCTCACATTTGCTTTTGAGTTCAGACAGGAGCTGACTATTCAATCATACTGGCCTCCTGCCACATCTGCTCAACATCTTTTACCTTGACAAAGACCATGTTGCCCTCCTTTACACCTGCACAACATTCTCCCGTTTTGTACATTAGTTTCAAGCTTCTCTTCTTCACATTCAGCATCTCACACCCCAAACTCATTCTCTCCATTCTCTCTTCCACTCCTATCTCTTTGTATGCTTCAGGTGTAAAGCATACAATTTCCAACATGTTTTATCTTGGTACTTTAGTTTATACAGCATATTGAATGACGTTCTTAAACCTACCTAAAACCAATTATCATTACAATCAAGTGTCTCCAAGTCAGGATTGTAGTAAATGTTTCAAAGGCAAAAAAGAGGGACGAGAAAAGGCATCAACAGAGGACAAAAGCAAATGCTAATAGATACTGAGACCAGTAGAGAGGGAGGGTGTCACTGAGGAAAAAATATTTTATAATGTCTTTTCTATGCTTACTTTTCAAAATAGAATCACCCTAAAGAACATCTAGGTTAAAATTAAATATAATTGAGGATAGTTTTTAAAAATGTTTGTGTCCACAAATTCCAGGTATGTTTTCATGATTACAAAGACCAAGGTCCTGAACAGCAAAAATTCTGAGAACTGCATTTCAGCTGCAAATCTTTACATAACTTCCAGAATGTGTACTGTTTTTTTCTTAAACCGGTTACAGCAAAATAATCTCATGCAATCACACTACAGAGCTGCCACTCTTCAATGGCAGGATTTGGGGAGAGTTCCACAAGGAACAATCAGAAGTACTACTGATAATTAGGGACAGTACTCATTGCCACCAAAACTTGAAAGTCACCTCATATTTCTACACAAGGAATTTTTAAGTACTCTACTGCTTCAAGAACACTAGCAAAAACCTTCCATACTTCATAACCTAACAGAACAGTATTAATTATGTTAATATGTATGTGTCAAGCACTAAGGAATTTCTAAAATTTGCATGCTATTTTCTTCCACTGGCAGACTGTCCTATGAAATCGTGAATTCAGAAAGAAGTTAATCGCCTTAGATGCCATCAAGAAATCCTTAATGTTTGCTACAGAAATTAAGAAATTGAAGAGTTACCCACAGACAACATTTGGCACTCATTCACCTGCAGTACTTCATTTGGAAAACATACAAGTTGAAATGTATAATCACATGAGATGAACAACAGCCTACTCTCAAAATTTTCCAAAAGACACCAATCTGATCATCATTCTGCATTACACAGGAAAGAAAATAAACCTGAAGAAAACAGGACTACTGTTGCACATATCAGACAACTGAGTAGTTTTGTGGATAGTGATATATTAGATTACTGTTATCTATTTATAATGCTATTTTATTCTATTTGATCTGATTCAAGACTATGCTTTCAGTTTTTACTTCGGTGCAATATGAGAAGGTATTTTACAAATACACTCCAAAGATAGGTGTTTAGGTTCTATTTACACAAAAGGAAGTAGAAAGGTTTCTTACACAAAGCTGGTATCAGCTTCCTGCATTTCTAAATGAAGGATAGGGCACAAGATAGTTGAAATTATTTTCTCTATATGAATTTGAAATGAATGATGAATCTGTATCTTCTATGTTCAGTCTCACAATGTTAAATAAAATATTGAAATATGGGAGTAAGATAAAGCAAAGATGGTACAAAAAATAGTGATTCAGTATCCATTCACAGCCTACTAAACACACAGAGATACCCAAAATGTTCTATTATGAAGTGTCTTTTTTTTTGCCTTTTTTTCTTTTTTTTTTTGCCTTTTTTTTTAAATATCAAAAAAATCCACAAGCAAAAAAATTCTAAAGTGAACAGGGGAATGGAGAAGGAACTATGAGAACTCAGCCTGGTTTTCCCAGCAAATATAGTTTCAAATGGATACTATTTCCCTCTAGATGTAAATCAAGGATATGAACACCAAAAGGGAACAGAGCTATTTATGGTAAAGCCAATACTGGCACACAGGCAAATGGATATAAATCAGCCAGGAATAAATCTATGCTACAAAATATAACACACAAAAAACATTTCTAATTGGAAGAGCAGCAAGGTCCTGAAAGACCTTCCTATAAGAAGTAACAAATCTCACAATCTGCCTAGTTTCAAGGGGGTGCCTGACTGATTTCCAAAATGGACTGACATAATCACTGGCTGATTGGCTTCAATATACTAACAGGACTCTTCCACTTGTGGTCTGAACAGGCATTAAGTCAGGATTTAAAAGCTTTCCTACGTCCTTACCAGAAAAAAAAAAAAACCAACCTTAAATCTTTATAACTTCTTTTTAAAGTTGGATAAGAGAAAGAAGTGATTTTAAATTCCTTTCACCATTTAGCATAAGTATTAAGCAAAATACATCTCACCAGAATTTTGAAACAGATTGCAAAGCACAAACTACTACTTTTTAAAAACACATTTTAAAGAAGAAGAATTGCAGGAAGGCATACTCACCACCTTCCATCTTTCTTTGACCAAGATTCCCACACTGAGGATGTCAGGCTGCTCCCCTCCTCCACTCATTGCAACCTCCTGATGCGATGGAGCTGCTATGCAAAGTCTATGTCAGTAGAAACCATCCAGATCCCGGGAGTGACTTCCATTTAACCAGTGACTGCAGAAACAGAGCAGAACACGGGATCTCAATGACTAAGAGAATAACATGAAATACAGAAAAAGTTGTGTTTCTCACCTAGCACCTTAACTAGCTTTTGTATCCCATAGTGACTTATGTTGGAATTCTAGCCAAACAACTTCCAGTACAGAAAGAAATTCAAGTATATTCTTCATAGAATCATAGAATCATAGAATCATCTAGGTTGGAAAAGACCTTTAAGATCATCCAGTCCAACCATTAACCTACACTACCAAGCCCACTCTAGACTAATCAAGGGTAGACCAGACTAAACCATATCCCGAAGTGCCACATCTACCCGTTTTTTAAACGCCTCCAGGGATGGGGACTCCACCACCTCTCTGGGCAGCCTGTTCCAATGCCTGACCACCCTTTCCGTAAAGAAATTTTTCCTAATTTCCAGTCTAAACCTCCCCTGGCGCAGCTTAAGCCCATTTCCTCTTGTCCTATCGCTAGCTACTTGGGAGAAGAGACCAACACCCACCTCACTACAACCTCCTTTCAGGTAGTTGTAGAGAGCGATAAGGTCTCCCCTCAGCCTCCTCTTTTCCAGGCTAAACAACCCCAGTTCCCTCAGCCGCTCCTCATAAGACTTGTTCTCCAGACCCTTCACCAGCTTTGTTGCCCGCCTCTGAACACGCTCCAGCACCTCAATGTCTTTCTTGTAGTGAGGGGCCCAAAACTGGACACAGTATTCCAGGTGCGGCCTCACCAGCGCCGAGTACAGGGGGACAATCACCTCCCTGCTCCTGCTGGCCACAGCATTCCTGATACAAGCCAGGATGCTGTTGGCCTTCTTGGCCACCTGGGCACACTGCTGGCTCATGTTCAGCCGGCTATCTATTTCCTTATTTTCTTAACCTGCGCTCTCTCAAACCTCCAAGCCTAATCTCAATATAGTACTAATGAATATAAACATTTCCAGAGTTATGTTCTGCAGGCAGTTTCAAATTGCTGTAAATCATAACTACATTCAAATTTAATTTTAATAACAACTTCGAAAATATAATTAATAATTTACTAAATAATTGGTTAAGTAATTAATAGTAATGTATAATAAAAAGTTTAAAGTAATGTTAACCAAAAAATTAGAAAATTAAAAATAGATACTTAAATTGGAACTGTAATTTAATTTATTGCACTGCATACAGACTATTCCACATTTTACAATGTGTTTCACATAGCTAGGATTACTTCTGATTAAATACGGCTAAAGTACAATTTTGTCGGCTTATGTCAGGATACAAATAGCTAAAGGGAAAAAAACTTGTCTTGGGTAATTCTATCGGTTTAATTTTTTAAGTTTCTGGCTTTAGGCAATCAACTCTAAAACGAATTTTATATAGCAATATAAAAATTTGTCTTTTGGAGATTAATCCATCCATAATGTCGCCCATCAGCAACTACTATAACCAATTAAAAGCTTATTTTAATTGTTTGAAGCTTTTCTAGAATTGTGCTTATTTGTTACACTGGTATAACTATACAAGCGTCACTTTTTGTACAAACTCTCTTATCCAATGATAAGACTCCTCAAAAGTGTATTTGCTTTGGGTTTATTTCTGTCAATTCCAAAACAGCATAAACTAAAAGTGAAAAATTCTTTTCTCCCTGAATCAACACACAAATGGTATGCAAAATTGGTACAACCATTCTGATTTAAATTAACAGTATGCCCTTCCATGTGAATAAATGCCAAGTTCACTACTGGAGCTAAATCATGCTTTTTAAAAAACAACCTGCTGCTTAAACAACTTGGCTTTTAAGATAGATGTTTGTTTGACATGACAGTAACTGCAGGGTTTTTTCCCTATATTTTTTCATATTTACTTTTCATATTTCATTTATGCCTTTCTTGCTTCAATTGTAAATTCTGACATTTAAACCAAGTCCAAACAAAACAGACCCCACTGGAGCAAAATTAATCTGCATTAGTTGAAGATCTAAATTTATACCAAATTAGAGTGGATTACATCCCTGTAAAAGAGTGTACATTCAGAATATGTAGCCTGAATTGATTTAATTCAAACAAATGAAGGGAAACCAAATTAAGATTGCATATTCTGAGTAACAGCGTCCACCCTGAAATCTAATCAAGTTGAACTAAAAAAACTGAAATTCTACCGGTGCTAGTAAACTCTCCTCTGCAGATAAAGTCAAAATTCTACAGAGAACTATAGTCATTTATGTGAACACCCTTAACATTACTAACCACTGACCATAACTACCAGCCCTTCTACCAGAATTTTCATAACACAGTCAAGAACTAAGTAAGCCAAAGAGAAAATGAAAAGGCATTAATGAAGGGAAAAAGGTCTATTTCCAAAGTTACATGCTTACAGCATGTACAGTGATTTTTCCACTTGCTCAAATCTTTGCTTCCCCTTCTACCACCCCCCCAGTTACATCAAAGTAGATGCTGGTCTTCACTGCTCCTATACTGGGACTTCAAAGTGGTTTTTTTCTGATACCAGCTTAAAAAAAGTAATGGAGAAAGTACTCATCTCACCGGAGCAAAATCTAAAATTGGCAAGTATGATTTTTTCTAAAGCTTCAAACATGAGCAAAATTCATCACCTGTAGGAAAAGTAGACACTTTACTAAAGGAAAGGTATGACAACAGTGGTTTTAGAGTTTTTTGTTAATACCACTATCAGCCTTGATCTGGTAGCTGATTTGATACTTTTTTTTTTTTAAATGCATTTCAAATTACAATTTATAGTCACAGCTCTGACAAACATTTCTGAGAGCTATTCATTCATGGATTCTTGAGCATACTAAGAAAGCATCGGTAACTGGCCCAGAATGCAATGGTACAATACATATATTCACAGAACCATCCCATACTTTAAGAATTATCATAGAAGTACCTATTACTGTAGATAAGATCTGCATGGCCAGGGTAACAAAATCTTCTTCATTTATACACAATTCCTCAATCCTATTCCGATATGCTAATTCCTCATTAAATCTCTTGTCATCCTGTATCATTACAAAGCAACAAAATCTATATCATCAGTCACTGGTATTCAAAGCGCCAAAATCCCAGGGCCCATTAAACTGTCATGCACGGGAGGCAAAAGTTCTCTCCTGAGCCCCTGAAGGCAAAGTGCTAAATACCTCCTGAAGCTTAATAATCAACTGCAAGCACTATTTTACTTGAAAAATGCAAGTTTTACAAACATGATGAGGTTAATATGAAGAATCCTGTTTACTTCAAGACTACAAATAAAGTAGCAGGAGGATTCAGTCACAAATTTCAAGGCCAGAAAGCTTGAAATTAGCCCTACCTTTTACTTGATCAGGCCACATAACTTCACCCCCTTCAGCAAATTAGCATACGCTAATGTGTAAGAGTCCAAATGATGAAGAGTCCTCTACCTTCACTGGTAACATGTTCCAGCACATCCCTTCCCTCACAGTAAGCATGACTTGCTTTGTTTCAAGGTTTAATCTGGCTAATTTTAGTTTCTTACCACAGGACTTTGTTACAGTTTTGGAAACAAAATTCCATTCCCAGTAATTTCACCTCATTTAAGCATCTAAACACATTTTTTAATGTCCTCTAAATTAATAAATTAAGCTTTAAGCCTTCCTTCCAGTCCCACAGGTCTTTTATGTGGTCCTCCTTTGAAAATCCTCTCCTTGCTCCACATTCTTCTTGTGGTTTTAGACACCAACACTGAATTACACTCAATCGTACCAATACCTAACATGGAGAAAAGATGAATTTTTTATTTCTTTGTGATAGCACTCTTATTTCCCTAATTTAAGTCTGAAGCTGGTTTATGCTTTTGCTAAATCACAACTCTATCAGGTGGTTATACACACCTTCATGCTTGAACTTGGGCACTGCTGTGAGAATATGGTTTCTTTAAAGCCTGTATTCACAGTCTGATCTAGACTGGGTTTCATTGCTCTGATGTGTTCTCTAATGACCTTAACACTGTATAACTGAAAATCTGTTAGTTATTAATGTACTGCAGTGGATAAATATCTTTATGTTCCTTACCTAATAACAGAAAACATGTATTCTGGTAGGTACAACTTAGGTTACAATCGCCTTCTCCAAATTCATGTGGAAAAAAAAAAAGGACATTATTGGAGAGGACTACATTTAAAGGAGTTTTGGACAGACATAAATATGCATTCTTTGAAGGTGGTGGTCAGGACAAAATTGAAACTGAAACTTCTCTGAATTTTCAAGGACTGGAATTCAGTTTGGTCCATTCTAAATTCCACAGATGAATAAAAGACTCATAAAAGCATACACAGTCCCATTTGTATTACTGAAATACAGCCATATGTTGCTTTCAGTGTAGCTGTTTAACAGCCTACAATGCTGTTAAACAATTTAAGAAAGCTCCAGCATGTTCTGTAGCCTACTGAAGCAGATGAATAGTTAATGACATGCAGTTAAGGTGCAAGCTTTCCCTTACTTATTCAACAGATGAATCCTTTAGCAGTGCAGTTTTATAGGTGGCAGTATGGTTATTTTCCGCACAATGAACACTTCTTTGTAATTCTCCTAAGAAAGTAAAAGCCACTTTAATTGCAATATATCTCATAAAATTCTATATTCATTAACTCAGTTTCCTTATCAGACCAGTTTATCAGATCAGGATATGTGTAAGATAACAGAATTATCACAATTAAAGGCAATTAGCCCTCTGAAAAATTTACTTCCAGGTGACAGATCATGGAACAACTAGAACAACACAATGAGTACAGACTGTCCCATAACATAAGCCTTTGCCTGGGAACTGATCACAGTATAATATAAGAACAGTTAAAGGAGGGTTAGTACTTATATCCAGAATTGAGTATTGTACAAACAGCATCCATTATTTAAAACTCTTCTATCCATTTAACTGCTTTTAACTACCTA